AAAGGTATAATAATAATTATTTATAATCAAAAATAATTTTTATGAAAATTATTTTTCAATTTGTAAGCCAAACGTCCGAAAACGTTACCGAGGCAGTGTGCCAAAATATAACTATCACATGAAAATTTATTTCTCTAAGAAAAAATATCATTTCTATAAAGTTTTTTTTTTCTAAAAAATGAATTATTTAGTCATTTTTAAAAAAATTTAATGTTTTTAAAATTATGTATTTTGGTAAGGGCATTATTAGAAAACTAAATTTTATTCCCACTTGTGAATAAATCATACAAATAGTGGGAATGAAAATATGATTGTCATTCCCATTTCATTCTCTAAACACGCCCAAACATGAAAATGAGAATTAACATTCCATTCACACATCTATTCCATTCTATTTCCACCTTATTTCTATTCTCACTTGACTCCATTCCCGCGTATCAAACGAGGGGTAAAAGAAATGAGTACAAGGCAAAGAGGGGAAACTTTGTTTCTCTTTCCCCCCTCTTCAAAGTCATAGAATTCCAAATATACCAACTTTCCTTATTTTTTTAATCACATCCAACCCTTGAGATTGCCATCCAAACAAAAAAAAAAAAAAACTTCATCACAATAATCAATGGCTCTCTGACTAACTTTTCAAGAACTAATTGAGAAAAATAAAGCAACGAGATTTTGTTTGCTAGCAAAATCCACATGAAAGTAACCTCATATAATTTAGTGTCAAGTTGTAATATTCAAAGCAAACGGATGATTCCGATTATAATACTGCCCCCTTTCCTCCTAGCTTGCTCCCTCCTCCATTGTTTGTTATGTGTAACCATGACGATTAGTATAATAATAAGTAATAAAATATGAAGATTATTATATTATCAAGGGTCTAGTTCCTAAACAGTGCTTTGGAAGCAACAATGTCTTTGTAACTTGTTCCCAAAATTTGGACTTCTAAAGTTCTAGCTTGCTCATCAAAGGCCGGTTTGGTTCAATCAACACATCATGGAAAGTCAAGGAATGATTGCGATTATAATAACGAAAGATTAGGTTTAACTTTAATTAGAAGCTCGGTGTTAAATTGCTTTTTTAGAATTTCACTAAAAAAATCTGGTAATTTTACATGTGAAACCTTACGCCATATATTATTTGCGAATGAGCCCGTTATAATTATGAATTTTGTCCATGCATCTTTTACTCAAAAGAGGTATATATATATATATATTTTGACATAGTTCAAGGTACACGCATATGATACAAAGAAATGGTAGATGCATGTAAGCGAAAAGTTTCAGTTATAGTGAAATTTTTATTCTAATCAGAGAAAGTAACTTACACATGTCCAATTCATTTTCTATTTGCGGAACACCCCCTTATATAGAATTCTTATATAACTTATAAATATAGCAAATTAAGGTGTTATTAGCGTAAACCAAACATTTTTAATTCCTTGCTGTCTATTAAAATTTTTTCCTTCTATTAAAATTGGAAGGTGTCACATGCGTGCGGCTCTCTATCTCATGCGGGAGCACTAAAAAAATGTTATTTTATTTTGCCGGAATAACAATAGCCAGACTCTGGTGCCTGCTTTTGGGAAGACAGATATTAAGCCTACATTTAACGGTCGCCGTCAAAAAGCAGACGGCAGGTGACGTTCGCAAGGCAATGGTACGGTGTTCGGGCGTTATTTTAGACGTCCCTCGGATAGGTTGCCCTGCTGGTGCAGCTTAGCGCGGTGCCAGATGGTTTTTGCTGTTGTACCCTTCAGTTTGGATCCTCGCTTATCGGCTCCGCAGCTGAGAATTTGCCGGCCTTCATCCCCAACCATACTGCTTACCTTGTACCGTCAGCTCCTCCTTAACTAACCTGCACCCGCTTGTTAATGCTGGAAACAAAATTTTCTATTTTTAGTAGAAACAAACGTCTCTTTTTAAAACTAGGTGATCCGAAAGGTATACCATTTTCTAATATAATCATGTTTAGTCATTAATTAAAGACTAATTAGCACACTTAAATACCTCACAGTTTCTCACTTGTTTTTGACAATACTTATGTATCTATACTCTTAAGTTTCTAAAAGTAGCATATCTAATATCTTCTTATTTGAACACGAGAATTTGCTTGACACTCTCAAACCAACTTTAATTTTTTAACTCTTACAATTTGTTAAATTCACTATTAAATAGAAATTATGAATTTCATTAGACTTAATGCAAGAGCTCCTCATCGTCCTCCTCCAACACCATCTCCTCCGCCTCGTTCTTCGTCTTTAGTGTCGGAGACCGATATGTTGTTTGACTGATCCTCCGACGATAACTTTGACGAATTCGAGGATTTCGCCATTGCCATTGCCGATCAAATTTGGGCTTGTTTTGCTTTTTGGGGGGAAAAGAAAGAGGGAGCAAGGAAAATTAGCGGGAGAGAAAAACGAATCATATTGAGTTTTTTCCTATATAATATATACGCCCAGATCAACAATATGGCTGAAGCACGCACCTAAGTTCGATAGTGGCGGAGGGGGATGTCGGTGTCTGTGAGAAAAAGGAGTAAGAAGGGGAGAGGATGAAGGAGATGTGTTAGAAAAGAGGAGGAATGAGAAGCCATGACCATTAGATTTAGAGGGAAAAGAAAGAAAGAGATGAGAGTATTTTGGGATTTTTATTTTTTATTCTCTCTCTATGCTTAGTTGGCAAGAAATAATTGCTAAAGAAGGGCTGCAGCACATGGATCTTCAATTTAAAGTCTGCAGCACATGAGAAAAAGTTAGAAGGGCTGCAGCACATGAAGTCATTACTTTTGGAACATTGATGTAATTTTTCCTTTTTTATTATCATCTAGCTTTTTTTATAAATTTTGCTAAAACTAGCTTATGTGGCCATGCGAGCAAAAAATCGGCAAAAATTTAAGTTTGCACCGTCAGAAAAATTAGTAAAATTACAATTATATCATTCCATGTCATTGACGCGTCAATAAGATTTAATGATAATTTGTAAAAAGAACCTAGGCTAAAAACAGAGCTAACATTATGAATTCTTACGTATAACTTCTAAGCGTTGTGGATTCAAGTGATATCTAGCCAATATAGCAACGGCCACCACTGAAAAAAGGGTAGAGGGGGAAAAAAAATCCCATATTAGCATTTTACCAATATTTATTATCGTGGTCCAGCGGGGCACAAGTTACCGCGCGTAAAATCAAGGAAAAAAGGAGGATGAGGGAAACAGGAGCAGCAGCGAGCAGACAGCAGTTTCACGGGGTCCCTTGTAGGGTCTCCCAGCGGCAAACCAAATAAAACCCTCTCTTTCTCTCTCTAAAACTCTCTCTCTCTCTAGATTAAAACATCGACCAACTCTCTCCACTCCTTCACTCTTCTCTCTCTCTCTCTCTCTCTCTCTCTCTCTCAAAATCCCTCACTTTCTCTCTCCTCCGGTTCTCCCTCCTCAACCTCAAAAATCAGCGGAATTCTCACCAGAACCCTGGCTCGGGTTGAAGATCTCGCCTCCATCTCTAGTTCCCGCCAAAACTCGACAGTTTCTGGCGCTGTTTCGAGGATTTTGGGGGGGAATTGGGTCGGATCTCGTTTTTTTGGGGGGGATTTCGGCGTTAACGGTAGGTAATTGGAGCCGTTTTGTGAAGAATATGAGCTGGCGTTTCTAGTTTTCTTTTATTAATTGGCGGTGAATTTAACGGATAAGGTGTGGGAGTTTAAAGGTTGAGGGTTTGGAGCTCGCTCGTGGAGTTAATGTTGGAGTTAATGAGGGTTTAATTGGAAATGGGGTAGTTGAAGTGGTGCAAATTGGCGTCTTTTGGTGTTATGTTAAGAAAAGTTGTGATTTTTTTGTTGGAGTGAGGGGTTGAATTTATCATGGAGGTTGCTTCTTCTAATCATCAGGCTGGAGCTCGGCCTTGTTTAGGTTTGTGTTCTTCTTTGAATTTATTTCTTTAGTTTTGTCTTGTTTTCTTGTAATTCAGTTATTTTTTGGGAGGCTTACCTTGAGTGAGACTTGGGCAAGATTGCAAAATTTAGTACTTTTCTAGCGTCTGTTGTCAAATTCTTTTTCCTTTGAAACTATGGGCGTATGTTAAATAATGGTTTTTTCTCAAATGGGGACAACCAATTGATTTGCCCAGCAGCTGAAGTTTTAGATAATTAATTTTCTCTCTCTATATTTTTTTGTAATTTTTTGTTTTCATTTCCCTTAATCCTATCATTTTCTGGAAGTTCTTTGCTATGATAATACGTTCCTATTTCAGGCCAAGCAAAACTTTTGAACTATCTGAGCAAATTATGGAGTCATTCTGCTCAAGAACGTTCTGTTTTAGTTTAACAAATTTTTCTTTATTTCCCACCTAAATTTTAAATGCAATAGACTGGAGATTTATGAGTCAGACTCTGCTCGGTTCTATTTCATTTTCGTAAAAGTTTTGATTCCATGTTTGGTTGGCTTTGGTAATATTCTCTTTATATGCTTGTTTTCTAATTTATACATCACTTATAACTCTGCTTCGTTTAGAGGTCAAGATCAAATGTCTTTTAACTTGGTATTCATCAGATTGTATCTTGAGGATCTCTTGCTTTTGTCAGTATTAGTATTGGTATAGAGGTTCAGAGCTATTTTTCTAGCTAAGTAAATTTCATGTTGATGTTCTTCTTCTTAAAAAAATCCTAATGAATCCCTTTACAACTTTAGGCACTTCAGCTGATCTTTTATATAAGGAACTTTGGCATGCTTGTGCTGGACCTCTGGTTACAGTACCCCGAGAAGGGGAGCGGGTCTATTACTTTCCCCAAGGTCATATGGAACAGGTATTTGCAAATTCTTCATAATTCATTTTGTTCCTATTAATTAGTTCAAAGTTTCATAAAGCGTGTGGCATGATCCACCCCCCTCCAATCATCTACTTCTCTTTGAGTATGGTGTCCTTCGAAGCCTAAAATTTAAGTTCACCCTAGTTAATTTTTATCTGAATTTGTTTGTCATTAGCTCGAAGCATCTACCCATCAAGGGCTTGATCAGCAGATGCCCTTGTTTAATTTACCAGCAAAGATCCTATGCAGGGTCATGCACGTTCAGCTTCGTGTAAGCTTTCTTCTGTCATTTCTTTGCTTTCTATACTTCTAATCCCTTTATCCTCTCTTCCAACTAATTTTCTGTTTCGGCACTTTTAGTCACTTGTTTTACTTATGTAATTAGCTTGTCTCTATGTTATAGGCTGAAGCAGATAGTGATGAAGTTTATGCACAGATTACCTTGCTACCTGAACCGGATGTGAGTATTATTTTCCTGAATGTCTAGTTCCTGATGGTTTAAATAAAACCTAACTCTTCGCCAAGCTTCAAGTACACATATGCAATTATATGATTGTCCTTTTTTGTTTTTATTTGTTAGTTTTGCAATTTATGTTGATATATATTTCTCTAAACTTATGATCAGCAAGGGGAGGTCACATGTCCAGATCCTCCACTTCCTGAACCTGAAAGGTGTACGATACATTCCTTCTGTAAAACACTCACTGCTTCAGACACAAGTACCCATGGGGGATTCTCAGTACTGAGGAGGCATGCTGATGAATGCCTACCACCATTGGTAAGTGCCAATAAAAGCTTAATGTGCTTTGATAATCACAACTGGAGAATACCTTTTGCGTTTTACAGTTTTACCCTACCTTATACTGAAATTTCTCGTTCTAGGACATGTCACAACATCCACCTTGGCAAGAATTGGTCGCCACAGATCTTCATGGGAATGAGTGGCATTTCCGTCATATATTTAGAGGTTTACTTCTATATTGGTTCTTCGATCTTTCCTTTTCATTATCTAATACTGTACTAGTTCACTGAGATATTGATAATTTGATATAGGTAAAGATAGTATAAGTGTACACGTATCATCATATTGTGTCACTTCGAGTTATTACCCGGGCATTTCAAGCTAAGCATATATTACTGTTATTTAAGAAAAGCCATACTTCTGGTTCTACCCCTATTTGTGTCAAGATTTCAAAAAATTTAATAAATGTGCTTAACAGTTTATAGTACATTAAAACTAATTAGAAAGACAAAATTGGAAAGAACTAAAAACACCCTAATTACTATCCGTTACTCGATAACTCCCTCAACTCCCCACATTTTCTCGTAGTAAGATATTTTTAACTTTTGGCAATAAATTTCTAAAAATCTATTCATATTAGCATTGATTATTAAGGTATTTAAAACATTTTTTATGCACCAGTTTACTATATAATGCATGCATCGCATGCATCGGGGAACTTCTGTAGATTTTAAACTAGGTCATCACATTTATCTATACTTAATGTGATCTATAACCAGATTAACTAAGTTCTCTGTCAGCACATATAGTTTTCTAGATTAACAAATGTTGTGCAGACTGCTATTGTGCACTGCACTAATAATAAATAGCATTGAGCTTTGACAAGGATATCAACAAATGTGGAAAAGGGAAAGTAAAATTTGAGTTTCATTTCCATCTTTGCAGGACAACCTAGACGACATTTGCTCACTACTGGGTGGAGCATCTTTGTTAGCTCAAAGAAATTGGTAGCAGGCGATGCATTTATCTTCTTGAGGTAAAGAGTATCCTCTCTGACAAGAGGTTGGGTAAAATGTCATGTTGCCCTTGTGTTGTACGATGTTGTTTTGGGTTGAGCTAGCTCCTTCAAAGTCTAGAGGATCACCTCTTTCTGGATTTAATATATATAGTTTTCACATATGCAGGGGTGAGAATGGAGAATTACGAGTTGGTGTGAGGAGGCTTATGAGACAACTAACTAATATGCCATCGTCTGTTATATCAAGTCACAGCATGCATATTGGAGTCCTAGCTACTGCATCACATGCCATATCTACTGGCACACTTTTTTCTGTCTTCTATAAACCCAGGTTTGTGATCTGTGAAATTAGTTTATTGCTTTTAACACATGCACACGCATCCTTTATGCTTGTCTTAAAATGCGCACACACACACACACACGTTCTTAGTTGATGATCTAGAATATCATCAGAAATATTGGCCTTAGTTGATGATCCAGAAAATCATCAAAAATACTGGCCTTTATATTTGTTAGCACGGTTCATTGTGGTAAACACTTGTCAAGTAATGTATTTTTTTTAATTTAACATATATGCCTTTTTGACTGCAGAACAAGCCGTTCTGAGTTCATCATAAGCCTCAATAGATATCTTGAAGCCAAAAACCACAAGCTGTCTGTCGGAATGAGGTTTAAAATGAGATTTGAGGGTGATGAAGCTCCTGAAAGAAGGTATTCTCGAAGGATTTTAAATGACTTGACATGTACAAGGTAGAAAGGAGTATTTTATCATTAACCAAAAGTCTTCTATGCTGCTTACAGGTTTAGTGGTACTATAATTGAAGTTGGTGACTTGGGATCATCTAGATGGGCAAATTCTGAGTGGAGATCTTTAAAGGTAATATAAGTTTGCCCCTAACTTTTCGAATTCGGCGGAAGTCTAGTAACTCCTGATAATAGAGAATTCATCATTAGCTTATGTTTCTTTAATGTAACGAATCATTTTAGTCAATTAAGATTTTTTTTTCTATTAAAACAATGGCTTTTAATTCTAGCTTGCACTATGCCCTTGACTTCTGCCATTCCCTTTTGCTCCTCTATTTTCTTCTCTGGTCTTAGTCTAGGTGCGAACTTGTGCAGGTTCAATGGGATGAACCTTCATCCATTATACGTCCAGACAAAGTTTCACCATGGGAAGTGGAGCCACTTGTTGCATCCTCCCAACCACAACCAGTACAGAAAAATAAACGTGCACGACCACCAATTTCTCCCTCTGGAGCTCCAGATATTCCTTCAGATCTTGGTATGATACCACTCTTTATAATTTTCTATAGTTATGTTCAAAGACTCATAGTATGCAGGACGTCTTCTATTTATTTGAATTTGTGAAGTGCTTTGATTAAGATTATGTAGGTGTTTTCTCTGAAAATCATTACCTGAATTTGGTTTCATTTTTAGCACTATCTAACTGAACTTTGGCTGTACTCTCTTTAATTAGGGATGTTAGCGGCACATTTAGTNAACTGATGCTGCTAAAACTTTCTCATTTTCGGGTCTTCAACGAAGCAGAGAATCTTATCCATTCTCCAACCCCACCTCTCTTTTCTCGCCAACAGCAAAACCTGGCTCCATTGGATTCAGTGGGAGCACAGCAGCATCACCAATTCCCAGTAGTCCTAGATCTGTTGGTTTCAATGGGAGTTCTGGACCTTTACAATCTCCCCGCAGTACAATGTACTGGCAAGCTCATGCAGATGCTCAAACTAAATCATACAAAGAACCAACTAGTAAGAAGCAGGTTACGAGCAATGGCAATGGCTGCCGGCTCTTTGGAATATTGATAGAGAATTCAACTACTGCAATAGAACTTCACCAGTGGCTGCTGCTGCTGCTGCTGCTGCTGTTGTTGCAGAGGACCGACCATTATCGTCTCATGATATTGAATCTGAGCAACAATCTCATCCTTCAAATGCCAACCAATCTGATGCCCCTGCCATTAGCAGTGAACCGGAGAAATCATGTCTTAGATCTCACCACGAAACTCAGAGCAGGCAATCACGAAGCTGCACCAAAGTGAGTCTAATTTCAAGTACAGCATCTCTGTTGCCAACCAAACCTCATACTCAAAAAGGTTCTGATTTCGGGCTACCTGTTCTAATATCTTCGTACAAACAGGTTCACATGCATGGAATGGCAGTTGGGAGAGCAGTGGACTTGACAAGATTTGATGGGTACGAGGACCTCCTCCACAAGCTGGAAGAGATGTTCAGCATTGAAGGGGAGCTAACCAGTGATGTTAAAAAGTGGCAGGTTGTCTACACCGATGATGAAGATGACATGATGCTGGTTGGAGACGACCCTTGGCAGTAAGTCTCTAGCTATCCTATGCAATCTAAAGTTTGATTAGGGGCAAATTTCACAAAACTATGATGAATTTTGGGGGCTTTTTGGACAAAACTACCATGGATTTTTGTTGATTATAGAACACTAATATGAACTTTTGAAAGCGCGGAAAAATACCATGAACTATTGGAAGTTCTTTGGAAGTTGTTGCTAACAGCATCAACGTCTGGGATACCTTTACTCATACTTATCATCCTTTACTCATACTTATCATCCCACGTGTGATAGAGAAGAAATGCATGTAAAGTTTAAGCGTAAGGGGAAATTTGCCAAAAAACATGACAATTTACCCTAAATGCGGTAGGACATGGTAGTGTATCTAAGAAAGTCTATGGTAATTTAGTTCAAACCCCCGAAATTTCATGGGAGTTCTATCAAAATTTCCCATAAATTAATTTATCTGACTGTAGTTTCTCGCCGTCCAAACTTTTTAACTGAACTGCAGCGAGTTCTGCACCATGGTTAGAAAAATCTACATCTACACTTGCGAGGAAGCCAAGCGTCTGTCCCCCAAATCAAAGCTGCCAATACTCAAAGGCGAAGGGGTATGTAAGAATGCTGAGGGCGATGTCACGAGAAACGCCCATGAGGACCAGGTGTCTGTTTCATCTGATAGGGACTGCTGAATGCTGACTCGTTGATATGCATCAAATAGGTTCTTAGTCGTTTTCGTCGAAATCTCCAGCTAGCTAGCTATCGTCAGCTTGTGATCAATGACGGGTCACCGTATATGGCAAATGTTATGGCTTGCCATGCTCTTTTTGTTTGGTATCATTTGGTTAGGCTTTGGTCATGGTGGCGCGAAAGAAGGCAAATGAGCCGCGGGTGGCTTCACATCTTTCATATCCTTTTGTTCCTTTTATTTCATTTTGAGTAAATATGGTACAAACTATTATAGGACAACGTTGGAGTCATGCTTTGTCTCATGTTTTTTAAGATAGGTATCAAAATGTTGCTTGCTTGCGGGCTGATACCTTTCAGTTCATAGCGTTGGATTGCATTGATCATGTGAAGCTGTATTTTTTGTTGTGTGCGGATGAGACGAGCCATCAAGGGATGTGTGATCACGTGTGTTGTGATGCTCTTGCTTGTAAATGTGGGTGAGGTTTGGTATGTGACTGGCACATGCATAAGGTGGGTTTTTGTCAACTCAAACCTTTGTTAGTTCTTTTTTGGAGCCCCAACTAGCTTTACGCTCCCAAATCGATCAAGTCGTTTTGAACAATATCACATTGAACAAAAAATAATGATAGGGGCACACCCTCTACCACATTCCTAATCACACCATCTCTCTTGTTACAGTACACAGGGGAGTGGTAGAGAGTGTGCCCCTAGTGTCTCTCAATAGCCTATTTTGCATACTAATCAAATAGCCTATTTTCCTTCACTGGTCCTTTTGTAAAATTAAAAAAACACCGCTAATTACTTGATGGAAATTTTAAAAATTTCAAATGACCCCTTAGAAAGTTTGAAATTTACAAAAAAGAAAATAAAAATAAAAATTTACAAAGAACACTCTGGAAATTTAGAGAGTTATAAATAGACAAATTACAAATGACAAATGAAAAATTTAAAATTTAGAAAAAAATCAACAAAATTATTAAAATTACAAAAACAACTTGAAATCCGAAATTTACATCCAATTCTCTGAATATATAAAAATTTAGAAATGAGTCATGAAAATTTTATTTAAAATTTACAAAAACACCCTACAAATTTCATAAAGTACAAAAACACCATGAAGAATAAAAAAAAAATAATACCAACAACACACTGAATATTTTTAGGAGGCTGTTAGAAAATTTTATATTTTCAAGGGTTTTAATTTTTAGGATTATTTGTAATTTTCAAATTTTTGGGATTTTTTGTAAAATTTTAACTTTTAAGGGTATTTTGTAACTTTCAGACTCCTAAGGGCTGTTAGTACTTTTTAAAATTTTTAGGATGTTTTTATGATTTTAAAATTTTAGGGCTTTTGTGTAAATTTTGGATTTTTCAAGGTTTACAAATTTCAGATTTTCAACGGACTATATATACTTTTTGGAGTGTTTTTTTATAATTTCCAATTTTGTCAATGTGCCATTTTTTCAATTTGAAAAATTTTTGGAGTTTTTTGTTGTATATTTCACTACAAAATCATAAAAAAATGATCTGCCACGACACCCTCTGTTAAATTCTTATTCGTTATTTCACAAAAGGACCGCATTGAGCAAAGAAATATAGTATAAGGTGAAAAATATGCAAATTGATACCTTAGGAAGTAAGTTGAAACTTCAGCAATACTTTAAGGGGGAGTTAGTCATTTTGTCCCAAATATAAGATCTGCGCTCTACTTTAGAAATATAAAGTTTTCGGGTGTAATATAGCATTAACAAAGGTTTGAGGGTCTAATATGAGAAAAAAACAAACAAACAAAGAGTCATCTCATATTTGGCTCTGCCAATTTTGGATTTAATTGTAAATTATGTTGTTTAAGGTTTGACAGATAATTGGGTATCATGTTGTGATTATTGTTTCTCCAGATTCAAATTCCCATATTATTGCGAGTGTTTTTCTTCAATTTTTATAATTTGATAACTTGCAACAATATCTACCATAGAGTATTTATTATTTTTGGAAATTGTTTCTTAACCGCGTCATTTGTAAATGGACCCGCTTCATATCCATATATGTCCATTAGTTTCTTCCTCCATTGCTGCCAAAATATCAAACTCAAATAATGCTTAATTAGTTCTCCACAAGTTCTATCTGATTATGTGATGGATTTTTCCTTGAAATCAACACCAAATATAAAGTAGCATGCAAACTTATAATAAAATCCAATATAAAGGTCACCACAAAATAATTCAATCAAGCCAATCATAATTCACGTGACATAACTTAATGGGGGGTCAGATAGACTATTAGAAATAGCCAATTATAAGTAGCGTTTTCATACACAATTGAAATAGCAAATTTTTGGCATTTTTCTTCCTTTTTGAGATGATATTATGAAGGCTCAATTTATTAAGAAGAAGTAAATTGAAACAAATAAGTTGAACCTAAACAAATCATAGACCTGCAAGTGAAAATAATTATATACCCTCTGAACTATACTTGGCAGTAGAATCTCTTTTACCTACAAGATGAGAGTTATTTCGGTAAAGAAAGATGTCAAAACATCAAGATAGAAGTTCCACGATCTTAGAATTATATGATCCAATCTCACGCACCAAGGGGGGAAAAATATAACATATAATACACATAAGTCATGTGTAAAAAAACAAAAGTTGAGAGAAGATAAGAAAGAAATACATTTTGGTTGAAAATTTTATGAGTAGAATCTAGAGAGGAGAGAAGATAAGCAAGAGATCCTAGATGACAAGTACAAAATTTGTGATATTTGTATGGAGGGAATTAATTTTGTTTCCCTCGAATTTTATTTCCCTCTTAAAAAAACCCCTCCCATTATCATTAATGCAAGATCATTTCTTAACCCCCCACCCCCCACCCTCTTAGCTTGAGATCTTTCCACCGATAATTGTCAAATCCTATTTTGCCAAAAACTGAATATGATAAAAAAGTTGACAGCCCATGTTAGAATTAATATAAAATTTTAATTCTCGATTTTCACCATAACTCCAGAGTTTTAGTGTAATGGTTAGAAGAACTTATATTAAGATGACATCAGATTAACCAGGTTCGAATCTTGCTAGCCACAAATTTAATACGGATCTAAAAAAATTATTATCGTTGCGTGAGTCCAGGTTCTTAGCCCATAAAAGGGCACTCAACCAGTGGGACATGTTGGAATTAATATAAAACTTTAATTCTCGATCCTCATCATAACTTTGAGTTTTTGTGCAATGGTTAAGAAGACTTAATTTAAGAGCCCATGTAGGTCAATTATAGTATAAGTAGCATAGACTATTTTAGGCTGGAGGTGTTTTAGCATGGGTACTTGGGTTCAAGCGCTAAAATGAGTTTGACTTTTTTATGAGAAGAGCGCTTAACATTTTACAAATTTTCTTGCGTGCAATTTTCCATTAATTTAAAGTGTATAAAATACTTTAGCTAGAAGGGGGAAAAACTTGTATACTTGCATCGGTTAATTGTGTAAGACTTTGGGTCTTTCACCTTTGCTCACGGCTGATCCAAGCTTGGGCAAGGAGACGCTAGTTTTCTAGCTAAAAGTTAGCTTTATTGAATTCGTTTGATACTTCAGCGCAGGGGTGTCCAACTGGGCTAGTTAGGCCCGGCTTGGCCTAGAAAATCGGGTCCGGACCAGGCAAAAAGGGGCATCCGGACTCGGGCCCGGTTGGACCAGGCCGAGTCCGCCCAATGCCCGCCCGGTTGATTTTCTTTAAATTATTTTCCCTAAAAAATGAAAATTTCAAGAGTAATTAAAAATAAAATATGCGAAAAATTAAAAAAAAAATCAATCATATTATTAATCACTTTTAATTATACAATTTTCAAATACAAATATCATAGAAATTAAAATGTAAAATAATAAATTATTTATTATTAAATCACTAACATTTACAAATATTTTTTGGAATTTCTCGCATCACAATAGATGAATACATTCCAACTAGGTTGACACATATTCATCTATATTACTATCATTTACAACTCTTTTCAAAATAAATTATCAAAAAATTACAGCTAAGAAATAAAAAGTACAAATTAATATGTAATTTGACTAATTTCTACTCTTTATCTCTATCTCCTATTGTCAACACACCAAGTCTATCTTCAATACTAGCCATTTGATCGATGCCTTGAGTTCTCTTCTTGAATCTCCACCAATCTTGTAGGCATATTACCACCGGTATGGTAGACGGATCTAGTGATATCTGTGATCGTCGATCAAACGTCCTGATATACTGAAGGCAGATTTTGAAGCTACTGTAAAAACCTGCACCATTAGTAAATCGTGAGCCATGATGGAAAGTATATGATATGAAATTGTTCAATATGCTCTCCACCATCGCAAAATATCAAAATCATTATTTTGAGCATCAATGAAAGGTGCGGATAAATAATATTCACTTTCAAAAACTATCCTTAATCATGATCAAATCCACGGCTACCAGTTAGCCTCGCTATCATTAATTGCTTACCAAAACTCTTATCTTTGCCCTGGCTTGAACTCGTAGAAACAGAAGCTATAGGTTGATGTGTACTTACATCATATCTATCTGCACACTCCCAATATAATCTTTAAAAATAATATTTATTAGTGTTATCATGAGTAAGAGTAGTAGTAGTCTGACCGTCATAAGTGTATATTATCATGTTTTCATATAAAGAATTTAACAAATTTTTAAGGCTAATATCCTTCAAACATGAATCCATAAGAACCCCCAAACCAAAAATAATAGGAATATGCCTAAAATACTTATTAAATTTACTTTTCATTTGAAAAATCATATTTTCAAGTTAATTATCCATACGATAAGAAGTAATTTTTTTTTAAATATTTAAAAACTGTAAAGCAACTTGAATAATAATTGGATGATAATAACCAGATAACAATATAGTAGCATTATAAAAAAACTTATAACATCTCTTTTACACTATATATAACTGTCAATTCTTCATTAGTTATTCCATACATACTACTAGAGCTAGAACTAGAAGCATTGAAAGCAATAAAATCATTTATAATTTCTTTATACTCTATTACTACATTTAACATTGCATAGGTGAGATTCCACTTATGATCAACATCTTTTGGAATTAACCTGGTTTCTAAATATTTGTCTTTTATAGAATTGTTTCCATATTTTAAGTTTTTGTTTAGAAGCATTATGAGCATAAGCTATAACCTTAATCTCTTCTACCATGAGTTTAATTTTATTAAATACACTTTGAACAAATTAATTTTAAAATATAACACATGCATCTAATATAATAAATATCACCATGACATGACAATAGCAAAGATGATTTGATATGATCTACAAGTACATTATTATTACTTGCATCATCTAGTGAAAGAGAATTTTTTTTTTAATTTCTAAATTTTAAAAGTTCTTCTATTATTAAATTTGTAATATTAATACCAATGTGTGAATCTTCAAATGTAATAAAAGAAATAACTCTTTTAGACATTTACCAACTATGATCAATCCAATATGCTGTGATACATAAATAACTATTTT